AAAAAAAAAAAAAAAAAAAAAAAAGATATGTGTTTAAGAGTATTTCCTTAATCTGTCAGTTTTATATATAGCCTTTTGGGATAGAATGAGGCTAAACATTTCTGCTGATTTCTGTACATCATTTACATTTTCTGTTTTATTTAGTCTCTGGCATTTTGTTGAGGCTATTGATTATCAGACTTGGTGGTTTATAAACTCCAGAGTCTACCATTCCAAACTTTGAAAAGAAGTACTTTAAGCTGCCTTACTGTAAATTAAATATCATGGGATAAAAATGAGTGATTAACATTTAGTGCTTGGCTTTAATGTGCTCTTAGAACTCAAGTGATTTTTTTTTATTATATTTAGTTCATTTGTTATCTTCCCATTGTAGCAGTGGGTTATTAATAATTTAATTCTTGACTATCACAACTCTTCATTCCCTATGATTATGAAATTCCTAGCCACTCTCTTTCCTTCATAAAATCATCATGAGCTCTTATGGACAGCAGCAGGTTTTAAATTCTTCCATTTTCCTGTGATACAGAGCACATGATAGTGGTAATTTGGTGGTAAATGCTAGATAATACCCTTGACCCCAAAAAACTCCTTAATAACTTACATTACATTGAACTTCTAAACTTATTATTTTTTTTGCACGCAGACTTGTAATAATTAGGCATTGGAATGTTACAGTTTGCACAAGTTTGGTGTGTGTGTATTTGTGGAAGTGATTTCTCTTTCCTGGTTTTGCTTTTAAAATTTTGTACAACTCTTGTTTCAGCACTGTGCTTCAAATGTAGTAAATCAAAAAGAAAGTGGGCGATTTTAATAAGTTACAGGAGAGTAGTCAAATGGACGTTGAAAATACAATAGCCCTCCCTTTTTGCACAGTTTCACTTAGCCGTGATCAACTGTGGTCTGAAAATAGGTGAGTACAGTATAAGATATTTGGAGAGACAGAGAGACCACACTCACATAACTTTTATTATAATGTGTGATGCTGTTAGAATTATTCCGTTTCATTCATTATTGTTTTTTGTTTTTTTTTCATTCGTTATTGTTATTAATCTCTTACTGTGCCTAACTTATAAATTTAGGTAAACTATATGATATGTGTAGAAAAAACTTAGTCTATGTACAATCGGGCACTGCCTACAGTTTCACTCATCCTCTGCGGGTCATCGCAAGTATTCCCTATCAATATGTGAGGATGGGAGAAGAGAAAATAGGAGATCCGGGTGAAGTTGTGTTTAGTCCACTAAATGGCATGTCAGATGAATCGTGAAATCTTTGTATAGTTTATCAAAATATGCTTTAAATTTTGTGTGTGTGGCAGAAATGTTTTTGTCTCATTTATAGGCTCTGAAGAAAAGACTCCCGAAAAGAAATTCTTCGAGGTGCAAAATGAAAGACGCGACCAGGCCCAGCGGACTGTTTTAATACATTGTCCAAATAAAATCAGTGAAAAAAAGTTTCTTAAGTATTTATCCCAGTATGGACCTATTAATAATCATTTCTTCTATGAGAGCTTTGTAAGTATTTGAAAAATAATCTACCTAAATGTTCATGCTTTTGAAGGATAGAGGTCTTTCTTGTTTTTTGCTGTGTCTTTCATAATGTGGTGAAATTACATTCTCTTGATATCCTCCACCTTGCCCTATTTAAATTTCTTTCATGGGTTTTTTTTATAGGAGACCAGATATCCTGATAGCAGTATTTTAGAATTATATGTGGTTTATGACAGATTTCATTATGTGACTACTTTAGTATCATTATTTGGGGGATAAAGGCCAATAGGAGGAGATCTTTGTTTTGCCTTTCAATTTTCTATTTCAGCATTCTTTTTTTTTTGGCCAGGGCTGGGTTTGAACCCACTACCTCCAGCATATGGGGCCGGCGCCCTACTGCTTTGAGCCACAGGCACCGCTTATTTCAGCATTCTTACCAGCTTTTCTTGACTAGAAATCACTTTATAGTGTTCCTTTTCTTAATCTGTTTATAATGAGTAAAACCAATGCTTGTGTTTGAATTGTATCATTTGTAAATTTTTAAAAAGTTAATGTTTTATAGCGCTATGATAATTGCTTTAAAATATGACTAAAATAATATGTTAAACGTATCATGAAATGTATCATTTTTTCGTATGTTTTTGGTGTAGGGTCTCTATGCTGTGGTAGAATTTTGCCAGAAGGAAAGTATAAGTTCCCTGCAGAATGGAACTCATACGCCAAGCGCGGGCATGGAAGCTGCAATTCCATTCAGATCACGTTTCTTCAACTTAAAGTTTAAGAATCCATCACACCAGGCTTCTGAACCAGCAGCCATACAGTTTAGTAATCAGTTACCTCCTTCAAGCCGGAAGCTCTTTGACTTACTGTGTTGTGCAAAAAGTGTAAGCTTTTAAGTATACTTCCACTTTTAAAAATATGTATTATATTATTTCATATGTAAAATAATATAAATATATTAATAATACAAATATATTTAAAATGTATTTTAAAGGTTCCTATAAAATATTCAAGCTACATTATTGTTCAGTGGGTCCAGCTCTTCAGTTCTACAAGGTAATAAGAGTCAGGAGATGGATGTGGTGATGGATGCATAACTTTATAAAGGAAAGTTTTCTTCTATTTCTGGCTTTCTAGGAATTTCATCAGATTCACCACATCACATCGAAGTCAAGTTTGGGCATTTGTGATAACCTTGATAACTGGCATGTGGGAGAATAATAGGGTTTTTCTGTTTTTGTCTTATTTTTACAATTTCAAAGATATAGGTGTTTTTATTACATGGATAGCTTTTAAAATGTTAAAGTCAAGGCTGTTACTGTGCTGACCACTGAGTAGTGTTCATTGTACCTGATGGGTAGGTTTTTGCCCTCTCTCTCCTACCCTCTTTTTAGTCTTTAGTCTTACTATGTTGCCCTCAGAGTGCTGTGGCATCACAGCTCACAGCAACCTCAAACTCCTGGGCTTAAATGGTTCTCTTGCCTCAGCCTCCCAGGTAGCTGGGACTACAGGCACCTGCCATAACGCCTGTTTAATTTTTGTTGTTGCAGCTGTAGTTGTTTTAGCTGGAGCAGGCTGGGTTTGAACCCTCCAGCCTTGGTGTATGTGGCTGGCACCCTACCCACTGAGCTATGGGCACCGCCCTAATTTAAATTTTTTTTTTTTTTTAATAGAGACAGAGTCTCACCTTATTGCCCTTGGTAGAGTGTCAAGGCGTCACACAGCTCACAGCAACCTCCAACTCCTGGGCTTAGGCAATTCTCTTGCCTCAGCCTCCCAATAGCTAGGACTACAGGCACCTGCCACAACGCCTGGCTATTTTTTTGTTGCAGTTTGGCCGGAGCCGGGTTTGAACCCGCCACCCTTGGTATATGGGGCGGGTGCCCTACTCACTGAGCCACAGGTGCCGCCCTAATTTTTAATTTTTTTGTAGAAATAGGGTCTCACTGTGTTGTGCCCAGGCTGACCTCAAACTCCTGGCTTTAAGCCATCTTCCTGCCTACGCCACCCAGAGTGCTAGGATTATAAGCATGAGCCACCACACCTACCCAAAATATGATCATTATTAACACCCGCCTTCTAATGAATTTGCAGGATTGTTATTCTAAGAAACTAAGAGATCTTGGGCCTTCATTACTTGAATTGTTGTTTATTTCTAGTATTTCATGCCCTTTGACATTGGTCTCTCCTTCCCCTGTTTAAAATAGCTTATTTCTGGTTGTTTTGACCTCTCCTGAAGCACTTTATTAGTTTCTTTTTCTTAAAATAATACATTATGCTCATCGCTTATGTAAAGTGGTGGTCTAATTCTATCTAGCTTCTATTTTGCGAGCGTCACTCTTTGGTGCTTTGTAGAAATGCACTTGAAGAGTGAAGAAAAAAATTGCATATGTTTAAGATGGGTCTCCAGAGCCCTCAAATCTTTAGAAATAAAGTAGCAATTATTTTATATGACCTGTATATTTTCTGTATTTTTGTTTTGGCCAGCTAGGTAGATGATCAACTGAACACCCTCCTGAAGGAATTCGAAGTAACAGAGGAGAACACTAAGCTCCGATATCTCACCTGCTCTCTCATTGAGGACATAGCAGCTGCGTATTTTCCAGACTGTACAGTCAGACCCTTCGGCTCTTCAGTGAACACTTTTGGGAAATTAGGATGTGATTTGGACATGTTTTTGGACCTGGGTGAAACCGGAAAACCCAGCACTGACAAGGTAATATTTCTTTAGACTACTAAAATTTATTTTTAAGAAATTAGAAAAGGGAAATCTTTGGATTTAATACAATTATAATTATTGATTTCTAAACTGCTAACTTTTAAAATGATCACACGTGGTCATTTTTGTAAATATTCTTTACATAGGCAATAAGATAGTTATTTATTCTTTTTGAGGGTTCAGAAGTTTTTTTGTTAGGTAAAAGTTGCTTATTTTATTCATGTTAGTTGTATTTTAACTAACTTTTTTTCTTTAATCTGTGTGATTTAGTTACAGAAACTTTTTAAATCTCATGATTTTTGGTTTTGTTAATTTATCCTTAAAATTCTTCTGATTCCCCCCCCATCTATGTTAGCTACATATAAGTATATAGGCATACGATTATATCTTTTTTAAAAATTATATCTTTTTATCAATTATTTCATTTATCATTAAATGATGTCCCTCTTCTTCACTATAAATACTTTTTTCTTAAATTCTATTTTGCTGGTTATGCTGGCCACTTGCTATTTGTCTCACACATTGTCTTTTATTTTGCCATATCCAGCATTTTTTATATATATATATATATATATACATACTGTTTTATTTGGGGGCACATCTTTTATAAATAGCAGAATGCTTCCACTTCAGTACAGACTCCAATCTGTCTTTGTGTTCAATTTATTTATTGATTTATTTTTTATTTCAAAGTATTAGAGAGGTACAAATATTTATTGTTATTATTGATAATTCTTAGTCTTATTTCTGTTGTCTTATTTTTCATTTCTTATTTTCTGTGCTTTTTCTTTGCTTTTGACTCTTTCTTTTCCTCCTTTTATTGCATCAGTCCTGCTTATTACTGTCTTTCCTCCCTTCTCTTTTTTCGTTTTGCAGTTTGAATGTTATAAATATTTATTCCTTTTACGCTCTGTTTAACATGCACGTCTTTCAGAGCAAAGAAGTACCTTTGCTGTCTTCCAAACAATATAAGAGATGTTGTAATTTAATTACAACTTTGAAAAGGCTTTGAGTTTGATAAAATGTTGCATTTTTATGGCTTTGTCATTTCTTGTATGTGTCAAAGCAGTAGTGAACATCCATTTTTAGGTCGATGTCCAGTTGAGACTTCAGACTTAACATTTAAAAACAAAACTAGTTTTCATCTCCCTGCAAATGTTCTGAGTTCTTATAAAAGTCTTTCTACTCACACACACACACACACTCATGCACACAGGCTGTCTGGAAAGTATCTGGCCATGTCATAGGAAACATAGTATTAACAGTGGCTGGATACTTTTGTTTTAGCTTTACAAATATTTGCCATCTTCTTTTAATTCTGCATCTAAGTCATTTTTCATATCTGTAGTCATACCACCATCCCTTATGCACTCTCAGTTAGATTATTATAATTAATTACATCCTGTTTCCACATCCTGTCATGACTTGGTATTCCAGCCTTCAGTCCATGTTAGAGTTATCTTCATTCACATTTTGGATTCTCTCACAGACTTTGAGTGATTCTTTTTGTTAGCATAGTATTCAAGTAATGTCTCTCAACTAATCGTAGTCATTATTTCTTATATATCTTCACACACTTAGTTTTCCAACTGTATTATTTAATCATTTCCAAAATTAGAAGACACTTTTAGAATATCATCATGACCAATAGTTCTTTCTATGCTATGTTCAGTTAGTAGTTTGTTTATATATATATCCTCCACTATATTTTAAGTTTGGGCAGGGCAGGAACCACATCTATTCATTTGGTTATCCCAGGGGACTGAGCCTATTTAATATGCTCAACATATACTTACTGAATTAAAAATGGCCCAGATTAGGAATCACATCAAAATTAACCGGGTCAGTTTTATTAAGACTAATCTGTACTTGGAATTTTATTAAATTTCTGGCAGGAGCACTTATATTGTGATAGGCTGTTTTAAATAAAATGCTTTAACTGAACACTCAAGAAACATGACAATGTGTTGTACTGATTTTAAAAGCCTGGACTCTATAGCCAAACTGCAGAATCGTGATTCTTCTCTGTGCCTCCATTTTCCTAACTGTAAAATTGGGATAGTGCTATACACCTGTCTCATGTAACGCTTGAGAAGATAAATGGAGCTCACTGCATGTGATGCTCTTAGGACCGTGCTTGGCACATAGTGAGTGTTTACATGTATATACCATCAGCAACAGTATTAATTATTTTATATGGAAGTCAGAAATAAAAATTTTTCTCTGTTGGAAGCAGAGGAAGGAGTTAGAAATTCTTAGTTGGGTCTCATGCTTAGATTTCCCAATTTAGGGGTTGTGAATAGTTTTTTATATTCTGAATTTTTTTCATTTGTATATATAAATGCTTTTAAAATATATATATAATCTTTACAGGTTATAACTTAATCTATACAAATTATAACTTGATTTTTTTTTTTCTGTTAATAATGTCTTGGCAATTCTGCTACCTTATCCTTTCCAGTGGCTGCTGAATGTTCTGTTAAATGAATGTATCATAATTAACTCGTCCTCTATTTATCAGACAGTAGGGTAGTGGAGTTTTCCCCCTTTTTATTGCTAGCCGTATTAGTTAATATTCTTTGGCTGTACACAACAGAAATAACACAAAATAGCTTAAGCAAATAAAGAAGTGGAGGAGTTATCATAGAATGCAGGGTCAGGAATGAAGATCAGTTTTAGGAAAGGCCTAGAACCAAGTGTAAACTATCAAGAACTAGAAAGTGTTCTGTGTCTCTTTGCTTCATTTATCTTTTACCCTCTGCTCTTCACATCTCCTTCCCCACCCTCACTGATAGTCTTTACTTTCTTAAGCCAGTACCAAAGTTTCTGAGTACATGTTTCAACTACATGGTTACCTCTAAGCCTTGGTTCCAATTCCCATTAGAGATCTCTGAATTTGTGGTATATTCCTATCATGCTTAGAGCAGCTATCCATGCCCAGTCCACTTAACTGGGAGGAAGAAGGTAGATGTCCATGATGAACATTGTTACTGACCCTTAATCCTTTTAAGAGGAATGAGTTCTGGGAGAGGGAGTAGTTGAGGGTTAGGGAACCATATTAAACAAGGTAAAGCTTCCAAATGGTATCTAGTACATGAATAACGCTGTAGTGAGCAGATATCTTTGTGGATTGGCTCATCTGTGCAAGAATTCCTTTGGGATAATATCCTAGCATTTTAATAGGTAAAGTATTAGAGGTGTGAAGTTTCAATAGATAATTGGTAAATTCTACAATGAATATGTCCCCATTTAAATTCCCACTTACAGTGTATATGTATTTCCCCATACCCCCTAGTACTGGTTGTCAGCTTATCTTTTCCTGACTGAAAAATGAAAAATCTTATTGCTGTTTTAATTTCTTAATTTTAGTTTCTAGAAAACATGAGGATCTGTTACTGTATTTCTTAGCCTTTCTTGTATTAATTTTTTATTGTCTTTTTTTGCCCATTTGTAGAATTGGATAGATCCCCCCCCCATTTGTATAAACCCTTCATAAAATTAGCCCTTTGTGTGGCATGTGTTATTTTGTTATTTTTTTGTTTTTTGAGTCTCATTTTGTCACCCTTGGTAGAGTTCTGTGGCATCACAGCTCACAGCAACCTCCAGCTCCTGGGCTTAAGCAATTCTCTTGCCTCAGCCTCCCAGGTAGCTGGGACTACAGGTACCCAACATAATACCTGGCTATTTTTTGTTGCAGTTTGGCCAGGGTCAGATTTGAACCTGCCACCTTCGGTATATGGGGCCGGCGCCCTACTTACTGAGACACAGGCGTGCCCTGTTATTTTGTTTTTTTTTTTTTGAGACAGAGCCTCAAGCTGTCCACCTGGGTAGAGTACCGTGGCATCACAGCTCACAGCAACCTCCAACTCCTGGGCTCAAGCGAGTCTCCTGCCTCCGCCTCCCAAGTAGCTGGGACCACAGGCGCCCGCCACAACGCCGGGCTATTTTTTGGTTGCAGCCGTCATTGTTGTTTGGCAGGTCCGGGCTGGGGATTTGAACCCGCCACCTTAGGTGTACGTGGCTGGCGCCTTAGCTGGTTGAGCTATAGGCACCGAGCCTGTTATTTTGTTTTATCTTTTATCTATAATTAATATATGCTTTGCCTTAATATGGTTTTAATTTTTGTGTAATCGTATTACTTTTTTGTGTATTCCGTACTTTTGTGTCATACTTAGAACCCTTCACCACTCTAAGATTGTCTTCTAGTGCTTGACTGATGAACTTGTCACATTAAGTCTTTCATCCACATTGAAATTGCTTTAGTTTTAGGGCTAAAGTAGGGATCTTAGTTTATTTTTTGTAATAGCCACTTGATTTATTTGTTAAATAGGAACAAACACTCCCCCAGTAATTTGCTGTATTGAATATTAATTTTTCTCTATAAGTTTGTACTGTTAGTTTTCTTCAGTTGATCTGTTATTCTTATGCCTGTACCTCCCTACTACCATGAGCTTCTCTAGTGTCTGCTAAAATGTGATGGCTAACTAGCGAAGGGCAAGTGTATGCTCACTGAGTTGATAGAGCAGGTGAGCCTACCTGTGCAGTACATAAAGTCATTATAAAAAGCCAATACTTTTTCTAGTTAGTACTTTATATACTGGAGAAACAAAAGGCATCAGAATCCTAAGTCTGCTTTTGGCTGTGATTTCATGAAGAATTTTTATTTTGTGGGGATTTTTGACCAAAGTGATTTAGAGCATCCTTTTAGAAAAGCTTGTTAAAAATTTGCCTTTTACAAAAAGCTCGTATTTACAAATATGTTTATTGTTCAGACCTTAGGAAATTTTCTGATGGAATTTCAAATGAAAAGTGTTCCTTCAGAAAGAATTGCAACTCAGAAGATCCTGTCTGTGATAGGAGAATGCCTTGACCACTTTGGCCCTGGTTGTGTGGGTGTACAAAAAATATTAAATGCTCGGTGTCCACTCGTGAGGTTCTCACACCAGCCCTCTGGATTTCAGTGTGATTTGACAACTAACAATAGGTATGATCTCTTAAGTCTATTATCTTAAATGTGAATGTTGTAAGGTATTAGCTTTGACTTTATTGTATGGCGACAGTGGCTTTGGACTCTTTGAGATGTGCTTTAGCAAGAATTTTTAGAAATTTGAATACTTGCATTGAAAAGTTGGAAATTCTTTATTTAATTTTGGAGATTCATTGAGGGTACAGAGAGCTAGGTTATATTGATTGCATTTGTTAGGTAAAGTCCCTCGTATAATTGTGTC